GTGGTTGAATTGTGCTCTTCCTTTTTTGGTATTGTTGTTGTGGTCGCTGTACGATACCATTCTGAGGGTTGATTCTGTACTGTTCGCGTGCCCCCCCCCCCGTCCTTGATACCACGACTTTCGGGGTTTTTGTACTTTAATTTTGTGCTCCTTACTGCTACAGTATATGTTGCGTGATACCATGTCACGGGTGCAATGCATAGTACAACCTCAACGTGTCTGATACCATGTCACAGGTGCAATGCGTAGTACAACTTCTACAGGTCGCCCGATGTATCACAGGTGCGACGCAGCCCGTAATATTGCTGCATGTTGCCCGATACGCCACAGGTGCAATACAGCCTGCTCGATCAGCGGCCAGGGCAGCGTATGGCCACCCTCGCCGCGGAGAGGGGGGTGGGACTCCTTTGCTACGGCACTGTCCTAGGCGGCCTGCTGTCGGAGAAGTGGATCGGCAAGCCGACTCCCACCAGGTCGGACTTCACCACGGTCTCCGAGATGAAGGTTAGGCGGCTTCGTGGGTGTAACCATACGCAAGGGGCCCCTGTTTCAGACCCAAGGGCAACACTGGCCTTATATCGATTGGTGCCCGGCACTGTTCAGCGTATGAGAACAACTTGAATGTATTTCGTTTGTGCCAAGCGATTTCACCGGCCTCAAAACGGCCTTAAATAAGCGGCCTTAAACAGGGGCCTCTTCTGTGTTCGTAGTCGAGGCGCTTTCTACCACGGCAGCCAGCAGGCACATCTGGTTTTTGTGTTGTCGCGGGCGGAAGGGCCTTTTTGATTCGGCGTCAAAGAAAGGGTGGTTTAACGTGCCGTGGGAGGTTACGCCACTACAGCAGTTCCATCCCACGCCACACGGGAAGAGCAAACTGTCTGGTGTATCAACGATCGACCGCTCTCTCTCTCTCTCTCTCTCTCTCCCTCCCTCCCTTCTTCCTGCCCGTGCCTCTCTCTCCCTCCCTCCCTTCTTCCTGCCCGTGCCGCTAAAGTAGTACTACAACATGATCCGGCAGTGGGGGGGATGGCCGCTGTTCCAGGAGCTGCTGTCGGTCACCAAGTCAGTCGCGGACAAGCACGGCGTGAGCATCCCCAACGTCGGCGTTCGATGGGTTCTGGACAGGTGCGAAAGCGATGCAGTCGGGTGCTGGTGCTCGCGATAGTGCGTGTGAAATTGGCCGGCACAGATGGAGTACACGCTATGGATTTAATAGTGCGGTTGACCGCTATAATGCGGGCGAGAAGCGCTTGGCACATACCCGCACAATAGAGCCCCCCTCGGCTCTATGTATTTGCCAACGCTAACAAGTCGGCGCAGACAACAACGCGGTGCAGAGCCCTCCAGCTGCGAACAACTACTTGCTCAGGGGGACTGACTGCGATGAGATTGCAGCGTGGAGCGAATCCGACCACTTGAGCCGTGTGCAGGTTGTAGCGGCTCCGTTTCAGTCTGGTTTGATTTTCACGCACTGCTTGCTGCTGCTAGATTAACCAAGTGTCCGCTGCTTGTTCTTCACACGAAAGAGTAGAGGTAGATCGGTGTGTTCTGTACAAGATATGCCCGCCCAGGTGGTATCTTCGGCCGAAAACACTCAAATACCATCACACGACGATGATTTCTACCCCCACCCGGACACACCATGGCCTTCCACCGACACCCCTTTCTGTTCAATGTTTTACTGTCTAACTGCATGAAATGACGCGTGTTCTTTGTGCTCCCTCCCTCAATGATTTGTTTCGATGAATGTGATTGGGTGGTAACGTTCTGTCTTGGTCATGTCAAAAGACCGGCGGTGGCGGGCGCGATCGTGGGGACCCGGCTAGGCCTGACGGATCACTCGGATGACAACCGACGGGTTTTCGGGCTCAAGCTCGACGACGAGGATCGCAGTAGGCGAGTTATTTCCGTGTTTTTTTTTCAAGCTTTGTTCTCGTCTCGTCTAATTTTGTTTCCTTTCTCTCTTCTCCCTTTGTCTTGGTGTTCTTCTTTTTTGACTTCTTTTCCCGTTGTTTTCCCTTCGCCTGTGTTCATCTCGTCGTTTCACTCTCCTTTCTTGTCCGGCCCCCTTTTTTTCGTACAACAACACAACAAATTAATCTCTTCCACAGATGTGAGTCCAGGATATTTATATTTTGTCAGACTCGGTTGGTGCATCCGTACTGTTCCTGAACCCTCACGATTTCGATGCGCGCTCGGTCGACGCATATCTTGTGTTTTTCGACAGTGGCACAACATCCTTTCTCGCCTTAACTGTTGGACAGCGGCAGAAGCCGTGTCCAACTCTTTTCACTTCACTTCACTTCCGCTGTGTTATTGTGCTTTCTCTACACTCAATACTACAACAACTTCGTTATTTCTCTCCCTCGCCCCCCCCCCCCTCGTGCTTTCTCCCCCCCCGACCCGAAGCTCCCTACCTATTCTGTTGCCGCGCAGGCGCCTGCTGAACGATATTTTTTTGCGTCATAACGCTCCGTTTTTATTGTCTTGACCGCAATATTTTTTTTGTTCTTTTTGCGTTCATCCGCAGGATAGCGGCGGTGACGGAGCAGTCCCGCGACCTGATGACGGTGATCGGCGACGTTGGCGACGAATACCGGGGATAAACGCGGACAGCCGGCATTGTTACGGGTAATGACCGGGGAGAGGATTGGTCGGTGTGTGGAAGCAGCCGGTTGGTCTTGTAAATACCGGTGGCTTCTCACGGCGTTATTTTCTGGCAATAAAGCACGACGTTTCTGCCAAGTAGCTGTAGATACATGCTCTATCCGTATGTTCCGCGCGGAAGCGATTATGTGTGGAGGGGGTCTCATAGGCGTACCACATGGGCGTGGTGGCAGGAGTGACAACGGAGTATTAGTCATCATATACAAGTGTTCGTGGGACAGGAGCCGGAGGTAGAGAGGGATTGCCGATCACTCACGCCCTTCCTACTTCCAAACAAATGAGCACTCGATAATATGCACAGGTGCGATCAGGCTTGTTGAACAGGGAGTAAAGGAAGGGATTTTTTCGACGTTGGCATCAGGGGTCCCCGAGTGTCGTGACCCGGAATAGTGCGGGTTCCCGTTGAAGGAGTGGACCAATATCTGTTGGTACCGGTTGTGAGCTGTTTACGTGTTTATTTCTCGAACACCTAATCTAGAGTGCATCGTGTCCACGCCTTCATTACGGACTCTTCCGGGAGTAATGACGTGGTACATGCATGGGTATCAATCAGGATAGGATGACCACCGAGTTGTTGCAGGGTCCCTTTCCCCCGGAGAAAGAACGCACGTTAAATTTTCTTGCTCTGTTGGTGTTGAGCGGAGGCTAATGGTGGATGGGTTAGTATAGCACTTAGTTTTTGTTGTTGCGAGATGCAAACCTACAGGTGGCACCTCCACCGCACTACCCTCCTTACGTTGAAGATATTGAGAACGACTGGCGACGTTCAACGGTCACAAGCACAGCCAAAGCACCGGAACCCACAACTTTCCACCGTTGACTGCGTCACGGTATGCGACAGACAAAGGGCATTCGGGAACGGTTGACAAGGGCGTGGCCTACACAGGATTCAGCAACAGAACCATCATTTATCCGTTCAGGTGGACGACAGACAAACGGACAGCAGTGAAAACACAATTTCAAGACAACACACAAAAAAAACTAATGACGAAATTAGATCCACTCAAGTCTATCCTACGCGTGTTGATCGATAGGGCTTTATTATTCAATTTTTTTTTTAAAAGGAAGAAATACAGAGAAACAAGGAACGGTAAACCCTTGATGGAAGGTGGTTTCTCGTGTATGGATAGGTGCGGGCACGGCAGCGGCACATGCGGGATGGACCATAAACAGAAGAGATCCCCCCGGAGCATACACTTGGCCCCGCGCTCCAACTGATCACAATCAAGGCTTGTTGCTATTGGTCAAATCATGGAAAGTGGCGATGAATCAAGACGAGAGGCTGAGAGATGTAGTCGCTTCACCAACATGTGAAATAGCCAAGCGTTTTTTTTTTACAACTAGACCGATCGACGCTCTACAATTACCTCGGCCTCCCTACAGGTTTAAAAAACTCTCCCACAAAGCAACCCCCACGACTCAAAAACGTGTGGTACGTCAAAGTTTCGTCTACGATGCCCCCTGCCGACCCATGATAACCCCCCACCACCTCAAGCGAACCGTCTCGGCATTGTAGGGATGCCACCTGAACGGTCTTACGACTACGGCATGCGTTTGCATGAGTACACCTCACTACAAGCGAACCGGTTTTCCAAGCAGACGCTGCAAAAAACCGGCCGAAAAGTGCTGTTCCATGGGATGCCGAGAGCTCTCGTAGGCCGAAGCTTCCCCAGCAGCGAACTCTCAAACTTGAAGCCCAACGCCAAAAAAAAAAAAAAAGGGGTTGGCAACGCCGACGTCGTCCGCTTGCCAGAAAAAAAATGTTGCGCTGCGAGCTCCAAGCAACTTGTTGCACTGCGATCTCCACGCAGGCTACCAGCCACCCAGTTCGTTGTTACGACGGTGACCCGTGGCGGAAATTGCGTTCTACAGTACGTGTCACTCTCACGACCCCCCCCCCCTGCCTCCCACGAACAACGCTGTTTCATTGCCACGAGCACAAGGTACCCGTGAAAAAAACAGTCATCAAGCCCCTGCTGCGACGTCGCCGAGCCGGTTGAAAAATGTCACCAAACCCGTGTGTGACGTCATCGAGTCTGTTGAAAAAACCATCAAGCCCGTGTGTGACGTCATCGAGCCGGATGAAAACTGTCACCAAGCCCTGCTGTGACGTCATCGAGCCTGTTGAAAAAATGCCATCAAGCCCGTGTGACGTCATCGAGCCGGTCGTCTGGTAGCGGCGGCGCCCAGCAGCGGCCCGCTGCTGTCGCCCCCGCCGACACCAACACCGCCTCCTCCGAACCCTCCGAACCCTCCGGCGCTCCCCACACGCGGCGGTTCTTGAGGAGGGAGGTCACGATCCCCAACGCCGCCGCCACTACGCACAGCAGCAGGGTTGTTGTACAGCTGCGCCCCCCCCGCTGCTGCTGCGCCCCCCCCACCGGAGAACACCGAGAAGCACAAGTCTTGGACGGAGGGGAGAGAGGCCACCGCGTGGGCGTACTCGTTGCCCGGGGAAGCTTCCAGGATCTCGCTGACGACCAGCTTGGCTTGAGAGATCACGGTGGCGAGGACCTGCGCGTGGGTGTGGTACCGGCCGCAGCCGCCGCGAGAGTCTAGATGAGCGAGAGAGAGCGGGAGACCGCCTTCGCGAGAAATCAAGCTCATGAGGAAACACAACACGGAGGAGGGGGTACGGAGACCCTATTCCCCTACATGATCCATCTTCCCTTTATTGCATGCTTTATCCAACATGTTTACTAAATAGAATAACCCTCCGAGGGCTGCTGGCAAAGCGAGGGAGCGGGGGCAGAGGCGGAGATAGGGGAGTGTACTCAAGCAAACGCATGCCGTCGTGGTTAGACCATTGACCCCGCATCCTTACAGCGGCGGGACGGAGCGATATGCCGGGATTTTCGCCGGCCCACGTTGCGTTGAACCATACGGGGAGGGGGGGGGGTGTACTCATAGTCGTGCATGCCGTAGTCGTTAGACCATTGACCTCGCATCCCTACAAAGCCGGGACGGAGCACGCCGGGTTCTCACCCGACCAGGCTCTCACATCACCAAGCGCGAAGCGCCGTGAGGTATTCGGCGAGTCGCATGAACGGTGCGCTGCATCCTGCTAAGGGTGTTCGGCATCTTGTGCTTACTTCCTTGCGTACGGATGGCAGCTGCGTATGACTTCATTTATTTTCTGGTGCTTTCATTTCCAGAGACAGTTATAAGCACTGTGTAACTGCCTCGAGGATGCTTGACCATTTAAACACAACGTGGTGCGATCATCCCCCGTTGCGCGGAGTGAGGGTTCTCCACCCCGCACAACATGATCTACTCGACCACCATTCATGTTTACCGCCAAAAAAAAAACACCAAAGGCAAAAAAAAAAAGCGGTAACCTGGTTGCCGAGTTCAGAACCATACGGGGAGGAGGGGGCATAATGAGCATGTGAAGAGACGGGGAAACACTTGGGGGGAGAGAGATCGAGAAGCAACAGGAGCAAGGGCGACAAGAACGAGATACGAATGCCGAGCGATGTTACTATTCTATATAGTGTGAGTTGCCTCTCTTCAAAGACGTAAGGGAGATCGCGGTTCAACAGGACCACCCCCGTTGTCACACAGCCTGGAGCAACCCGACAAACAAAAGGACGCGCGGAATCAGAACCACTCTGCTAAAGGGAGACTCGGTAATCTTCCGGTGATTGAATGGATCTTTTCTACGAATAATTTAAGCAGCAAATATGCCGAGAAGTAGACCACTTGCGTTGCCTCGGCCCCCCTTCTCGCCGACTAGAACCCAAGCTACAATCCCCCATCCATTCTCGGGGCGCCCCCCGCCGCCACCGGCCCGTCGGCTGCTTTCTCTCGGCAAACGACATGATGCTCTCGCATTGCTGAACACCACTACATGAAGAACGAACTCGGCATCCTCACCTGCGCGGACTCTTCTCTCTCAGCCACAGCCGGCGCAGCGGCGACAAAACCAACCGCGCCGCCTCCTCCCGCAGCATGCGCTGCAGCTACCCCGGCCGGTAGTCCCCCACCGTCACCGGAGGTGGCCGCCGCTGGCCCCGTTGCTGCCCCTGCGGGTTCAGAAGGGGGGGCCTTGGGTTCAGAAGGGGGTCCCGCGGCTCGCCCTCCCCCCACATCCTCGCTGCCGGCGGCGGCGGCGGCGGCGGCCGCCCCCGTATGCTGCCGCCTCCCGCCGCCGGTGGTAGACCCCCGGCAAAACGCCTTCTGCCTTAGCTGCTCGTAAACCATGCCGAACGTGGCGTCGAGGCAGCTCTGCGTGCGGTTCGATGAGCAAAGAAAAGAACATGTATAAGAGGGGAATGGGGTTGGGAGAGCAATTGATGTACTCTAATGTTAGGTCCTTGCCCAATTCTACTTTTTTTTTTTTTCTGCCCCTCTTTTTCCGTGAGCATATGCTTTTAAATCTGGCCAACTATACTCCAAAAAATGCCCAAAACTGACATGTATGCTCGATTTTTCGCCAAATATGCACAATTCGGTCTTGTTTGCTCGACTTCTGCCCAAAATTTCTACATGATTTACATGATTTTCGGCGTTTTGACGCCCGAGCAGAATGGGGCAAGGCCTATCCAACCGAAACGCGAGGGAAGCTGCAACAACAGCAACGCCGGCTGCACCCGCAACAAAGACAGCCAACAACGACAACAGCACAATCTCCGTTGAGATTTTCCCCTTTCAAGGGGAAGAAGCCAACATCAAACGCGCGTACCCCAGAACAACTACGTCAAATCCCTTCCGGAACCCGAACTACTTCTCGGCAAACGAAAAAAAATGCCCAGAAAAAAAACACACACACACACACACACTTCCAACATACAACGCGAACCACTTCCACGACACCTGTCGACAACTTCAGACCCAGGGAAGTTTTCTCGGAACAACAAATAGGTGTAGTCCACATTGTGTGAAGTAGGCCGTTTTTCGGGCTGCCGGTTGCCTTGCCTGCAGCGCCGCCGCGAAGTTGGGGCTCTCCGCAGTGTCCCACGTCTCGTCGAGCACCTTCCCCACCCCCTGCAAAAGAGTACCACCGGCGGTGCCCCCCACACCGCCTCCACCGCCGAGGGAGGAGACGCCGCCGTTCCTACCCTCCGCCGTGGCGCCGGCGCTGGCGCTGGCGGTACCGTTGACGACGATGCCTTCCAAGGTGGTGTCGTTGGTGGGGGCTGGTGCTGTGGTCGTCGCTGCTGCTGCCATGCCGCCGATACCTGGGTCATCACAAAAAAAAATGGGGGGTTGTTGGGTCATGTGTTGGGGGTCTTCTATAACAGCGCATGTATGCGTACTAGGGTCTTGTGTGATATACTTCGAAGATTGTGTTGGGGTGTTTGTTGGGGTGTTGCGTATTGTATGTACCTTTCAGCTCTGAGTTGTGCTGCATTTTTCCAGGTTGGAATAGGTTTTGAGCAGTCTGCTTCAAAGGGATGCTCAACAACGAGAGAAAGAGAGAGAGAGAGTGCGAGAGAGAGAGAGAGAGAGAGAGAGAGAGAGACAGGCAGAGAAAGTGAGAGAGAGTGCGAGAGAGAGAGAGAAAGTTTGACGAGAGGAAGAACCAATTGAAAGAGCAGGCGCAACCATACGGACATCACACCGATGCGCCCACAGCGACGAACACACGACGCCAACGGGCGTCATGCCAAAAGAAACGAAAAACCAAACCAAACAAAAACAAAACAAAACAGACCAAGATCACTGCCGATGCCAAAAGAAACGAAAAACCAAACAAAAGAAAACAAAACAGACCAAGATCACTGCCGCTTGCGAGTCTCAGGACTTCGCCGTGACGTACCTTGTCGTAACTTGCGACAGAAACGTCCTCACTCCCCCCCCCCCCCCCCCTGA